TACATGAGAAAATTTTGGTGCCAAAGTTTGCCGGCTAAATACTGGTTCCAGTGTAACCATAATGACCGCAGTGTCCGCTTCGTGTTTCCCATCCGAAACTGACACACTCATATTGAAACGTTCGCCGAGGTTGTCCACTGTGAGTAATTTGCTATCCTTAAATTTTTCATATCGAATTCAAGTGCATAAGATACAATATAGACCAAACTTTTCAGCATTAAAACCTGAAGAAAGCAATTACTTCAGCTTTATCACATTAATCCTGATGAGTTCTAACTCAAGGCCGCCTTTGGCATAAATTTCGACTTGAAGTCATAAGTTAAAGACATAGAAAAAGTGTGGGCTGATTCCGGGTATGTGGCTATGGTCAGAAATCTTGTCCACATATGATTACGCACACACAGATGCACAAACATGAACGGTGAGCTTTTAGGTTGCAATAGTAAAGCAAAATGCACAAAAAATAGCTTACTCGGATTGATAAAATCCCATACTTATTGTCAAGCTCGAAAATTGATTCGTAATCACTGAGAATAAAAATCAAATTGCTGTCGCCCGGATTATCAACGTCCATTGTCAGCAAAATATCCATCAGTGAATTCTCCTTGATACTTAGCGGTACCACAGACTTCCGAAATCGGGGCCGTTGCCCGCCATCGTCACCCAGATTTATTGATATGGGCAGATCAAAGGGCTGCCTTGAATACTCCGTTACTGCTCGAACCAGCAGAACTATCTGCTGTGGAATTTTACTGCATTCGGATACGCATTCCAGGCTTATCAGATCAATGCTGTTACTATTACTTTTTGGCTCCAGTGAGAAGCTGAAACTCTTGTAAATTATCTAGCTTTTCATTTCACTAGTTAGAATTTGTGGCGCAGTCAAACTTTCTCCCGAAATCGCGTGGGCAGGTCTAGACAATTCTCGAGGAAAAATTTATTGGTCGACAAATAAATTTTTTTCTATGGAATGATTGCAAATTTTTTTCTCAGATACTAATCTATGGAATGACTGCTGCAGACAGGACATTCCATATTACTGAAGCAGAAATATCGAAGTATTTTGTGCGATACCATCTTGTCAGCAGTGCGAGCCAAGAAACTTCTCTAGCTTCTACTTTTGAGCTCTGCCTGGAAGAAAGCCAGAAGCATCT